ATGAAGGGTCTAAGCATGAGGGACTCGGAAGAATGAAGTGATTTCTCGAGTTTTCAGGAAAATGAGTTGTGACCTCTGTCTTAAGCTTTTCCGGGACAGCTGAGCCAATTGGTGAAGGCTACATGGGGAAATAGAGGCTTTCAAAGTTTGAGAAATGCACCTGCAATCATTTACTTTGCAGTACTGCAGTGAAAAGGAGAGTTGCACTCATGACCTGCAAAGCCCTAGTGTGGATGATAGATAGCTGCAGTAACTGCACCTTCAAATCTGAAGCTCTGACATCGAGTTTTTATTTCTTTGTGATGGTACAGCAATTAAAAGGCACAGTTGCATCGTCTTCTTATAGCTGTAGTGGAAAACCAGGGAGAAGAGAGAAAGCTGCAGGAAGGTCTGAGATCAAAGTGTGGCAGTGAGGCCGAGGGGACACCCAGGTACATGCATGTTTAGGGAGAAAATACAGGGCTGTTAATACAGGATCCATGTTTTTGCTTCTTGGCAATTTAGAGTACTGGAATTCTCTTCCAGATTCCTACTGTTACTTTTGAGTCACCAAACCCAGGTGACTACCACAGAGCCAGAGCCTACCAAGTTGAGGTGCAGCTCTGCCAAAACACACCCAGGCCCAGCGCTTCCCCTGTGGCTCCTCTTCGCCTGGGAGCGCGGCCGGCGGGGACACGCGTGGGCAGGGCGGGAGCGGGCGGGCGCTGTCCGCGGTGCTGAACGGCGGCAGGCCGCGTCCTCGCGCAAGGCTGGGGCAGCTCAGCAAGTGCTGATGGAAGCGGCGGGGAGACCTGGCCTCCCCTCCTGCTGCTTCTGCTGGGCACTGATCACGGGCTTTCTGTAGGCTTCCTGCTTGGTGTTGAGAGGGTTGGCTTTACTGTAATTTTTTATCCACAGTCTCTGTCATTTCTCAAATAGCATGCCTTTGTATCCCACTGCAATCCAGAGATTTTCACAGTCACAGGTAACTCTGAACATCTCCAGCCAGCCTCAGGACTACCTTTCCTATTTTCCTATTTCCTTGCAGAAAGCTGCTGTTACTGAAATAACTATCTGCTCAGCTGAGCACAGTGGGGAGTTCTGCAAAAGATCGTGCTTCTGAAAATGACCGTGCTACACCAGAATGGGGAGCAACTACACCTATCCCATCCTAGCACATTAACTAACAGAGGTGTAAAACCTGAATCTTTAAAATCCTGACTGAACAAATATAGCTGAGCCATGCTCTTGATTACAATACTTGATTGCCTAGAACTGCTTACAGTAGCTAAAAATATCTGACATATTCAAACCACCAACGACACATCCAGAATATAATACTGGATGCCACCCACTGGCTTGAAACATTTTTTCACCGTGTGCCTGCCTTGCTACAGGAGCCAGAAAGCAGGGAGAAGGATGGTGAGTGGTAACACTGAAAAAAAGTCTTCCTTATTACTTTTGGCATTTCCCAGGGAAGCTGATAGCAAAAGACATTTCTGTAGGTTTTGTTGATATTTCTGATGCTATAGTTTGGTCTATAGCAACATTTGGGTTCATAAGGTTATATTGGGCTCAACTGTAAACGACTATCATTTATATACCTAACATTTAGTGCATAATGATAGATTTATTTTTCGCTTTGTTGAAGTGTTCATGAGTTGCTTCTGGCAGAGTATGTATGCCAAGAAGATTTAAGGAAGAAGAAATCTCAGCATCCAGTGTCAGCTTGATTCTCCAGGCCAATTGAGCATCCAAGGAAGCAGTATCTGAGAGAAGAAAATCCTAAGTCTCAGAACATGTTTTTTTGATGCTGTAGCCTCCATTAAACATCCTTTTTGGCAGTTTTCTGAAAAGCCCTTGTTAGCAATCTAGGTTACTTTTTTTTTTTTTTTTTTTTTTTTTTTTTTTTTTTTTTTTTTCCCCTCCTGCTTCTACCTTTATCCTGCATTTGGCCTGATAATTATGTAATTCAGGGAACGATGGAACGCCTTTATTCAATACTCTTGATGCTCAAGAGCTTTTCTTCAATATGTGTCATCACCTTCACTTGCAGAATGGGTATTCAGTTTCATTTACAACAGAATTGCTTTTAGCATAAAGGCCCGTCCTCATGATTATGAGCTTGGGACACTTTCTCAGTATATATTAGAATTCATATAACTCATATAGTGGCTGTAAAAAGAGACAACCCATCTTGCCTGTGCCAGACAGAACTCATTTCTGCAATTGATGTACCATCATCCAGTCTTTGCCTGCAGGTCTATATTCTATGCTTGGGAAGTGCCAACCATAGAGAAAAAGCACGAGAAGCAGAGTACAACCATTTATATCCTTCTGCAGTAAAACACAAGAAGTATTTCCAGTTAAATGCCAGAAATCATGCCACAGGATTTTTATCATGTATGATTTCTAATCCCATGATCCTCAGGAATCATGTAGATTTTTTTTTTCTTAAATAATGAGCACTTCTAGGAAGATCAGGTAGAGCTCAGCTAACTATCAACTCCCCATCCCTGGAGGTACTTTAGCGATGTGTGGACGTGGCACTAAGAGACATGGTTTAGTGATGGGACTCAGCTCAGGCTGATGGTTGAACTTGAAAGCCAAAAAGGGTCTTTTCCAGCCTAGACCATTCTATTATTTTAATTTTGTATGTCACCAATTTTTCCATTTGTCATTCCCAAAAGGGCAGATTTTTTGTTATTGTATGACCCAACGCATGCAAAGAGATTTAGGTTTCCTCTCCTTTGCAGTACTCAAAGCTTAATTGATGATGTTTGCAGAGAAGTACCAGATTTAAATCCAGGTGAAAAAATTTGTTATGCCAGCATATTTCTTCCAAGTGGAAGAGATTTTCATTGAAGCAGAGTAATGTATGTTACCTATAATCAGGTCAGAAGACCAATCTTTTGTCTATATAGAGATCTTAGACATGGAGCACACCCAATTGCCCTGCAAACTATCTCAGTGTAACACTCCTTCTCCAGGAACATTCAACTCCTAGTCTCCCTGGTCTCTACTGCAACTAGACCCCAGGGAAACACAAAATGGGTTTGTTTTTTTTCTTGTAGAGCAGGAAATTGCTAGGTTCTGTATTAGCACAGAAATGACAGATTGATGGAGCCCTCTCAATGCCCTGCTGTGATAAAGAGTTGTAAGGATTACCAGTGAATTTATCAATGGCTTCTTCTGCCCAAGAGAATCCCAGCCTTAACACTAAGCCACAAATATTCTGGTTTTAGAAACACACGTGTAGGTAATGTGTCTGTGTGACCAGAGAGGCAGCGGAGCAGCTGCGGCAGCCTGTGCCTCAGCCCAGTGAGTGAGGACAAAGCCCCAAGCAGAAAGTTGGATTAGATGACCTGCAGAGACCTCTTTCAGTCTAAATTATTCCATGACTCCAATACAGCTGCTTGAGCACACAGCTGGACCTAAGGGTTGCTTGCACAGCCAGTGCTGAAGCCAAAGCTGCTGCACCTGCGCTTGGGCAGAGACTCCAAGTGGTGCTTCTGTTTCCCCTAACGAGGGTGGAAGCACTCAGAGAGGCTGTTTTGGGGGCTGCTTTGTGGTGTGGCAGTCTGAACGCTACATTCATTGCCTGCCGTCCTGACGCACCTCTGCCACCTCCTGTCACCATGGGTCTGACTGGATTACTACCTTACAGCAGCACGCACACCAGAGAAGTCAGACAGATCTCCTTTGGGCAGAGCTGGTGCTTTGAAAAAGGCTCAGGAAGCTCCAGATGTGAAAATTGCAGGTCCTGTGCCAGCCCACCTGGCAATCCCTGACCCTTCACTGCCAGCGATTCGCTGTGTTTCTGTGGGGTCTCTGCACAAGCCAGTGCCAATTTATTCTGTGGGCTGTCCTCTACTGGAATCCAGATTTCACATGCCCCTTTCTACAGCTTGCAAACAAGATAAATCACACCAGGCTTTCGCCCTTGTCTTTTATTTCTACAAATTGATTTTTTTCAGCGCTGTGTGCCATGAAACCTCCTTGTAAACAAGCAGTAACTGAAAGAACAGGAATTCCTCTCAGTTGTACATAAACCAAGTCTGGACCCAGCCAGTGACAGTTATAGAGGCAGGTGGCTTGTTGAATAATATGCTCAACTGCAAACTGTGATACTAAATGTCAGTCTAGGAATGCCATAAATCCTATGTAAAAATGTGCTCAGATTGTTTTGTATTTCAACATGCTAGCCCAAAACTCCACACATAAGAAAAGAATAAACAGTGTGGGTGGCATAATTGTTACATTTTTATATCCCAAACATACGCTCTTTGCAATCAGGACCTCATAAATTTTACGTCTATGCTTGTCAGAGTTGCTTTGGTTTCCAGCAAAGGACTTTGAACTGTGCTGGCCCTTCTCCAGAGCTGTGATGATGCCTGCACGGATGCCTGCAGACTGGGGGGCTGGTAAAATGCTCCTTACAGAATGTTCAGCTTCTATCAGTGAAAGGCAGAACTTGACAGGTAGGAATTGGCTTGCTGCCTTTTCAGCTGAGACCTCCTTTGCTAATCACTATCTCTTTGTACTTGATTCTTGCCTCCAGCTGTGGCTGTCCTACAGCTTAGTCCAGCCCATGCAGCCCTTTGCAGCCCGTGCTGCTCCCATGTTCTTTTCATCTATCAGTCCCTTGCCTGACTGGCATCTGGAAATCCCACTCCCTATATGAAGAGCCCTTCTGTAATAGCACCTGTGTGAACAGTGTCACCAGATTTCTAAACTTTGCTTCAGGTTCCCTTCCTGATGTGCAAATAGGACTCTACAAAGCTTCTGACTGTTGTGGGGTGGGGAGGGCTTCTTGCAAGAGAAAGGGTTTCAATTTGATTTGGTTTTATACGACTTGCTTGTTTGCTTTGCCACATGTCTTGCTTTGATTTTTTTAGCCTCCTTGGTACTGTCCAGCTGCCAAAGCTGAGATGCAATAGGTCCTCATCACTGCTCAAAAGATAACTCCATCACGGGCTGCACACTCACTGCTGGCTGGCTGCTCTCCTTCCGCTTAGCCTGGGGAAGTTCCTGTTTCCTTCACAGCAAGCCACTGCCTTGCCTTGGCTTTATGGGAGGTGATTTTCCCTTGCTGAAGCTTAACAAATACTGCACTTGTTTGGTGTATCTCTAATGATAGCGAAATGTCGGGAAATTGGGGGTTGTCGGGCAACCCTACTGGACTTGTCTGAAATCTTATTTTCCTTCTTTTGCAGAAAGCAGATTTCATATTGATAAATCTCTCCCTTAACTATGGTGGACCCACCACAGGCATGAATGTCATCTTTACAGAGGAAGAGAAATAACAGGAAGAATTACATCGTGCGGCAGTTTTTTGTTGTGGTGAATTTAAGGTACTCAATTTACACCATTATAACTCTTCAGAAATGACCGAAAAAAAATCACTTCTGAAGCCCAGACTTTTCTTATCTCTCAAGTACAAAGATCAACCTTTTGTGAAATGTTCATGTTAAACCTTGCTGCAATTTGGCAGGAGTTTAGGGAGGAGAGAAGGAAATGGTCTGGAAAGACAATCATGATTTAAGAAGCTGTTCTCAAACAAAGTGGCCTCATTCTTTTATTTGTGTTTATCTAGCCTGTCTTTCAGAGAGCATTTTTTGGCTATCAAAACATATTTATTTAGATCTTTCTTTCATGTACTGAAACCTTGTCAGCCAGTTCCTGAGTTGTAAGTGCTTGATTCTGCAACCATAATATTCTCTTTCCATAGTTTTGTATATAGTTTCCTATGCTTAGTTTTAGGAGCAAATTGAAAAAACAGGTTTCCCACCATATGGAGCCATATGTACTCTCACAGGGTCAGCAAAATGGTTGAGCTATTTAGACTGAGATTTAGCAGAGACCTCCACTTGAGCAAAGTGTACAGCACAAGCAAAGAAGAGCTCTTTACGCTGGCAGGGTGGTCTGCAGCTCACAAATGTCAGTGGCCACCATGCATGATCAGCAGTGGGTCTGCAGAGTTGCATTAAACATCAAAATAACTGTAAGTTAAAGGTGGGATGTTCCATAACAAGACCATTCACTGTGCTGTGGGCAACAAAACAGTGAAGGTTCTGGAGCACAGGTCTTATGAGGAGTGGCTGAGGGAGCTGGGATTATTCAGTCTGGAGAAGAGGAGGCTCAGAGGAGACCTTATCACTCACTACAGTGACCTGAGAAGAGGTTGTGACAAGGTTGAGATCAGCCTCTTCTCCTGCATAGCTAACAATAACACTAGAGGGAATGGCTTTAAGTTGTGCCAGGGGAGGTTCAGGTTGGATATGAAAAAAACTTTATTCTCCAAAATAGTGAGGTGTTGGAACAGGCTGCCCAGGGACATGATGGAGTCACCGTCCCTGCTTGCGTTCAAGAAATGTGTGGATGTGACACGGAGGTTAGTGGGCACGGTGGGGATGGGCTAGTGGTTGGACTGGATGATCTTAGTGGTCTTTCCTAGACAAAGGTGGGCCATATTCCTTGCTGGGGAGCTCTTCAAATGAGTGAAAAATTTGGGGTCTGCTTTGAGTCACAGTGGAAGAGTGCACACACAGAAAACCCTCCTGTCTCACCTCCTCTGTCAATCACCTTGTCTCTTGTGAAGGTGGTCTTTTCCTTCTACTCCACCATCTAGGTGTCATCACTGAGAGTGAGGTGACAGGATAGATACTGTCTTGTGCATGGTGCTGTGCTGTCTTACACCACAGAGAGATCCTCCATACCTGAGATAAGCAATTACAGAAAAGCCTTTCTTGGTCCTTGTCTTTCCTTACAGTAGAAGTAGGGTGATGGCCCTTTTAACTCCAGAGGTGAAGTCCACCCTAAATGATCTACAGACTCTTCACACACTAAGAGAAGCACATCACTGACTCACAGAATCACCAAAATCATCTAGTCCAACTGTCTGCCTACCACCAATATTTCCCCACTAAACCATAGGACAGCATTTAAATGTTTCTTGAACACCTCCAGCGACAATGACTCCACCACCTCCCTGGGCAGCCCATTTCACTCACTCAGAGAAAGAAATTTCCTAATATCCAACCTGAACCTCCTACAGAGCAGCTTGAGGCCATGCCCTCTAGTTATCTTGATAGTTGTGCGGGAGAAGAGGCCAACACCCACCTCAGCACAACCTCCTTTCAGGCAGTTGTAGAGAGTAATAAGGTCTCTCCTGAGTCACTTCCAGACTGAACTATCCCAGTTTCTTTAGCCACTCCCCACAAGATTTGTGCTCCAGTCCCTTCACATCTTTGTTGCCTTTCTCTGGATGTGCTCCACGCCCTCAGTGTCTTTCTTGCAGTGAGGGGCCCAAAACTGAACACAGCACTTGAGGTGCAGCCTCACCAGAACCAAGTACAGAGGAACAATCACCTCCCTGCTCCTGATGGCTAAACTAGTTCTGACATAAGCCAGGATGCTATTGGTCTTCTTGGCTACATTGGCAAATCGTTTTGCAATATTTTCTGTACTTGGGTAAGCATCTGAAATGAGTGTAGCCCTGCCTAAGCAAAGGAAGTAGTGGGGATTCTTTTTTTCAGGGCATTGTCAGTAGCTGCTTTTAAATACAATACAATACAATACAATACAACACAAAGTCAACCTAATTTAGGGCAGCTTTCTTGTTCCCCTTTTCTGCCCTTTTCTGAAGTTTGCCACTCACCCATATTGCTGCCTCTGAGGGCCTCTGAACCCAGCCAGCCTCAGCAGTTGTTGCAATCACAACATGTTGTGTGGCAGAACGCTTATAGCACCATCAAGCAGTTCCTTACAAATAGATCTGTAAGCATGCACAGGGCTTGCTGCATGCCTTGTCTGAGCGCAGAGAGGGCCCACTGCAGCAGAACATGCCAGTGCTGGCACAGCTGGGTAACTCAGGGCCAGTGCAAAGCCAACAGCTCAATGTGAGCTGCTGATTTAGGACTGTGGATGGATTTCCAGGGCAGCAGCACATCCATTTCTGGAACCCAACATAACACTTCCTTTCAGTGTTCTGAATTCTTGCTTCAAAGCTCTGAATTCTTACTTCAAAGCTTTGAGATACTCTATATAAGGCAGTTGGAGTCTTTGGTTTAAGGGAAACTGGTTTTCCCTAAATTCATCCTAAAAACTCCTGGATTACTTTGTGGGAACTGTCTGAAAATACACAGCCTGAGGCAAGCACATTAGAGGGAAAATTTCTGCTTGAACATTGAATGTTTGGCAGTTGTGAACAACTGAAATCATAGTCTTATAAAAGGAAAGATGAGGCAAATTTAACTGTTACCATCTGTGCCAGGTGCGTGCCTACACTAATGGTTCTGGGTGGGTAGACAAGTAGTATGTGTAAGTTCGTGATACATCCCTTCTCCCCAGGAATCAGCTTTAGTCTGGTAAAAACTCATTGAAGTCCGTGGAATTACAAGACCATAAATCTAATTTAACATTGGAAATTGGGCTCTATAGATGTGCTCTGTGTGTGGTATCAATCTGTTTGCAGTGTATATATAAATAAGATTTGTGGTGAAATGAGAAAAACAAGCTGCTTGTACATCATCTAGGAATGAGCTCTGTGTTGTGCTTAATATTTTCCAGAGACAAATGCGGTGACAGACTTATCAGAAACACTGGCTGAAATGAAGCTGTTGATCCAAACATCCTCATCATACTTTATCTTAAAGCCAAAGCAAAAATGAGATGTCCCAGTGGGTGTAGGCCATAGAAACATTGCTTTTTATCATTATTATTATTATATTCAGATGTTCGTTGTGCTTACAATTATAGTGCTGGCAGACAGAACCTATTAGAACTGCCAAAGCTGATCATCTAGCCCCAGATCTGATCATATTACTGAGAGCATGGTCTGGGATTTTACAGTGGCTTGAGACAATTTGACTCTTTCTTCCTCGCCAGCTCATCTCGCTGTATCTATTCCAGAGTGGGGCACAACATGTGTTTTAATGAGCCTCCACCTCTTGCTTGGATCCTTCCAGGGGGCTGTCAAGCAGACAGCCTGGTGACTTTCTGCTTGTGGAGGGAACAGCTCGCAGGTAGCCTTACAGATTCAGCAGCTAAATGAGTTCAAGCTCAGCATGTGTGAAAGATAAACAAGGGTATTCTTTCCCATTATAGCATCCTTTTTGTAGCAAAAGGAGTCGTGGAGGAGGGGAAATGGCTGATGAGCCAATATATGTCATTTCTCTGTGGTTAGCCTGATTATTTTTCTGTCCCATGGATAACAAGCCAACAGCAGTTGCATGGTGTATACTGCATCCAAGGGATAAAATAGGCCCACTACTGAACTAGGACAAAAGATATCCTTCAGGCAGATGTAGCAGCCAGTACCTCAGTGAGTTTCTACTACACACTCTGTTCCCTGGATTTACCACTCACTGAATGAAAACGTAGAAATGAGCAGATTAGCTTCCTCTCTGTAAAGAGAGGCACTTTGGAAAGCAAGGTTTCCAGATTATTTCAGATTATTTGCAAGCAGAGCCAAGGAATCAGGAATGCTAAGTAAGTGACCATGTGCAAAAGGATTATTCCAGTGCAATGTCCTAGGATAAAAGCAAAGCAAAGCTACTTGAGCTTAGATCAAGGCTCCCACAGAAAGGCTGTTTTCTACTGTACAAATTAGTCCCAGCAGCTGAACATCAAAGACCATTTAAAAGACAGCCGAAAGCGTCAAGTTCCTGCTTATCACATCTCAGAACAAGAGCTCACTGGGCTTTGTAAGAGCATCATTCTCCTATCTCACAAAACAGGCAGATCACAAAATCTCCCCCTTTACTTTACAGGACATAGTGTTGGAGCCTGTGGGTCCAGCCTCAGTGCAGGGAAAGATGTTTCCTAGATCCCAGCTGACTCTGCCAAGCACTTGGTCACTGAAGTGATCTGTAAGAGCCTCTTCTTTCCTTATTGCTGGCAAGAGCTATTGCAAGTAGAGTTCCTCTAAGGGAGTTTATTTTGATGAAGTTGGAATGTAAGTTTATGCTTTTCTTCAGCAGAATCTACTTGAAGAGGTCCTGGGGTTTCAAGATAACTGAAATTGCCTTTTTAATGGCTAAACTGTTCACTCAATGTTTGCACTGTTGTTGTGGTTTCATCTGGGATAGAGTTAAATTTCTTCCTAGTAGCTGGTGTGGTGCTGTGTTTTGGATTCAGGATGAGAACAGTGTTGATCACACATCAATATTTCAGTTGTTGCTGAGCAGTGTTTACACTAATTCAAGGACTTTTCTATTTTTCACACTGCTCTGTCAGCAAGAGGGCTGGGAGTGGGCACAAGAAGCTGGGAGGGGACAGAATGAGAACAGCTGTTCTAAACTGGCCAAAGGGATATTGCATACCAGATGGTGTCATGCTGAACAACAAAACG